CTATAATTATTAATTTTTACAAGTTATAATAATATGTGTTAGTGATAATATAAATAATTCAAGTAAGTAATGTTTTTTGCAATTCTCTTTAGTTAAAACTATTCTTTTTACTATTGCTTATGTATATTCAAATTGTAACGTTACTTTCTGTTTTTTAAATTGTAGAACCACTGAAGATGACGTAGAATTTTACGTCGAAACGTATGGAAAAATATAGATATTTTGAAAAAAATCTTTACTTTACTCTCTTTTTTTTTACTTGATGTTACGCCCTCCAAAAAATCAATCATACATATATATATATATATATATATATATATATATATATATATATATATATATATATATATATATATATATATATATACGAGGTGTGTTCAAAAAGTACCCGGAATTACTAATAATTAAATTTCGCGGGTCTGGAGTGTCTGATTGTCAAAATTTTTTTTTATTGTGTTGGTATACATGCCCCTAAAGTATGATGAAATTTTCAGCTATATTCACTGTTTACTTTGTCTGTGGTAGTCGCTAAGGTTCGACGTGTTTTTCTGAGCTCGGCGATTTTTACAATGGAAGAATTGAAAAGTCAAAGAATTTGTATTAAATTTTGCGTAAAAAATGAAATAAAGTGTTGCAAAGTGCAAAAATTCACCAGATATGGCTCCGTGTGACTTTTTCCTATTCCCAAAGTTGAAGAGACCCATGAAAGGACGGCGGTTTTCCTCGATTGAAGAAAATCGCTGAGAGTGCTCAAGGACATATCAAAAAGTGAATATCAAGGGTGCTTCGAAAATTGGAAAAAACGCTGGCATAAGTGTATTATATCTGGGGGGGGACTACTTTGAAGAGGACCACATTAATGTAGACGAATAAATAAATATTTTTTTGAAAAAACGAAAATTCCGGGTACTTTTTGAACAGACCTCGTATATATATATATATATATATATATATATATATAAGGAAAGTCCCCGAGTGCCGGACACCTACGGTTATCTATAAATAAATTAAAAAATATTTGACGAAATGTTCATTAAATTATGAGTTATATTAGATAACAAAGTTAGAAATCAAAATAAATTAACAAAAACGCAACCTTTACTAAAAATAATTAATATTATCAATCAAACTTTGGTAACAAAAAATATGATTTTAAAAGTGGCACCTAGTACCGGACATTTCAAAATAACCTGTATTGAGCACATGTGTAGCCACGGCTACACTTTGGAATGTCTGCACATGTGTGTTTGACGAATATTCTTAGATGTGGCAAACAAAAATCACTATTTATCAACCCTTTTGGCTGGGCTACACCGATGCTCTCAGACGGTGCTTTTATCATAAGATTTTTATTCTTTGACTAGAAAATACGAAAAATAGGGGTATGCAGTGACCGCACTCATACAGAACAAAATTAAATAATTAGAATAAATTACGTCAATTCTCACAAGAAATATTAATATGTCCGGCGCTAAGGAACGATTTAGTGTCCGGTGCTAAAGGAAAGACATGTTTGTTTATTTGGTGGTACCTACTAAAATTGCATAAAATATCTAATAATATTTTACCACTTTACGAATAACAATCAAGTACTACTGTTATTTTTAAATGCCCATGCCAATTAGCAAGATCAGAAAACCATTTAGGAGAAGTATTAAATAATACACCCTTACAGAAGAATTTTATATATGAGATATATGTGTGTGTATGTGTGTGTGTGTGTGTGTATATAGGGAAGCTAGCGGCTTGTTGTAACAGTTTTTAATGAAATTAATTTGTCATATAAACTCTACTAGCTACATTTTTACGAAAGAAATAACCAAATACATAAATGCAATGGATATATAAGCAAATCAAGTAGAAATAATTACATAACTTGACTGTTATTCATTATTTTACAATCAATAATTCCCTAGAAAAAGTGCGTTGTTACAAATATTCCATATTTGGGGCTACACGGGCAACAGTAATGATAAAAAAAGGACAATAATATCCAGGGGCGTAACGTGCCTTGGTGGGGCCCCATATCAAAATCGGTTTGGGCCCCCCCCTAAAGATTATTCATAATTTAAAGAAACATAAAAAGATTAATAAATTCATTTAATAAAATTAAAAGAACATTTATTTATCAAATTTTCAAATATACATCGAATATTATTCTTAATATTTTACAAATAACTAAAATTAAATATTCACTCTCTTTGCCTTTTTATCAGCAAACTGATTTATTAAGTCATTTATAGCTGATGATGTTTTTAGTTTTTCTAATGTTTCTGCCTCTATGGACAATAGAGACAGGGCTGATAGACGTTCCTGTTTTATTGATGTTCTGAGGTAATTTTTGATTAATTTTAATTTTGAAAAACTCCTTTCAGCAGTTGCGGTTGTAACTAGAAGGGTCAAGAATAAAATGCAAGCTGCTATTACATCCGGAAAACTGGATGCAATACTATTAAATTTTATTAATAATAATTCAGCGAGTTCCTTAATGGAATGAATATTTTCGATTTCTGATTTTAAGCATGCTTTTAGAGCTATCAATTGATCGCAAAGATTACCTGATAGATCTTTGCAGTATTTTGTCGTCAGTTTTCCGGAAGCAATTATTATTTCTTCATTTGAAGAAGACATGAGTTTTTCCGGTTGCAATATTCTGAACATACTATTTACGTCACAAAGGTTTTGAAACCTTTGTTTTGTTTGAGAAATTAAAATATATAAACAGCAATAGTACATGTTTACTTTAAAATATGATTCAGAGTCTAAAATTCTCTAGTCTTGTGATAACTCATTGTAGTGCCCAAAGCGTGAATAAGAATAAAGAACTTAATTTGTAAAGCAGAAATTATACAAAACACTGGTTTGATAAAAGTTTATTCATAAAGAAAGAATGATTTAATGATATTTGTAATTTTGTTGTTCGCTTTTTGAAGACTGCTGTGCGAGAGAGCTCTAAAGATTGTGTTTTCGATAAGGAAACCTCGGTCGAGTAGTCTTCTGTCGTCTTCGGGGATCCTCGTATAGATTCGGTCCATAGTGCATAGGCATAGTTGCATAGATGGGACCTGTGCATCTTATATGTTTAAGTCGAAGCTGCATCGGGGAAATTATGCATAACATCATCGAAAAATCGCTTTGTTATCTTCCGCCTCTTGTTTTTAAAAATTGTTTTTATATTCCAATTCTTTGCTAAATCCTTAGTATTCCTTAACAAAATAATGAATGAATTTTTATGCCTCAATTCGCGCAGACTCTTTAAAAGATTTCTTAATAGTATGCTAGTTTGTTGTAAGTCATTACTCACATCCTGTATAGCTTTCGAAATTGGATTAATAATTTGAAACAATAAAGAAAAAATGTTACGAGCACTAAAAAATCATAGCTTTCTAAAAGGTTAATTAAATTCTTACATTCTTCACGTTCATCTTTTTTTAGAAATTAAATTTAATTTATACAGAGTTTTTACTATTAATGAATAGTTTTTGCTTATTGCTAATAAGGAGTCGTTCCTTGAAGACCATCTGGTAGGGCATACCCTTTTAAGTGTTACTAAATATTCCTCGGAAGAATCTTGATTTAGCATTGACCAGCGTTGTATTAATATTTTTTCGATCTAACAAATTTTTGGCACTTTTTATATGACTTCATCTTTTTTTGTTTAATTTTTCATTTCATAGCTTCGCTGGCGTAATCTCTTTTCTTTTCACTCATTGTTTTCTTTAAATCACCACAAACACCTTTCTACAAATCACCACTAAACCAAAACACTAGTGGTTTGTATTGTAATACAAAATGATTCAGAATCAACTGAAATATGTAAATAACCCCCGCTGTCTTTCAATATATAAAACCTTCGACTAACTCTGGCAATTATCATATGATTGTATTTTTTCTAACGTCTTTAGTTCTGTACCAAATGTTGTACTTCTTGTCCATTTTGGGTCAGTTGTGAATAATATTACTTATTAAAAGAAATCCCTGCTGTTCGTTCGTCGCTTGTCAACATATCATTGTATTTTGGGTACGCATAACTGTACATTGTTTATTGATGGTTTTTCATTGATTATTGAGGGTTAAACGCGGAAACCCCGTAGGCCAAACATGGCAATAATCGATGTAGGTTGTTCCGACAATAAAAATAAATTAATATTTTGACTTTGTCGTTTGTGAAATTAATAAAAAGTTTTTCTCAATTTCTGTTAACGCTCGTTGGGCGCCCCCTGAGCCCGGGGGCCCCGTATCATTGATACGGCTGATACGGCGGTAGTTACGCCCCTGATAATATCTCTGTTAAATTACTCTTAACTCATTTTTAAGAAAACTGGCAACATACCAAATAATATTATATTTCAATGTTACAACTAACCCAGATATGTTACAACAAAACCCAGGTGTAATTTTTTACATTAATAAAATTAACTATTTAATTTAGCGTTTAAAACTGTAACACATTATCAAGGATTGATCATTTTAATACGAAATGAGATATATAAAGTTTAAAATTAGTCGATAATAAGTTAATAATAATGCAAACTGAAATCTTGTAATAAGACAATTTTATATTACATGTTATAAATGACGGAGCTCTAATCTTTCGTATACAACGTCGGTCTGCGGAACGGTTGCCTTAACAACATGATGCGAGAGGGTGAGATTTAAAAACCCATTCAAGACAAAGAAGTTTATTAATATTACTTAAGATCCTATTGAAAAAAAGCCGTGTGTACTTGTTCCTGTTAAAATAAGCTACTAGCTTCCCTACTTTAGATTTTTATGCAAAAGATTTATTTTGAAACATTGCAATAAATCTATTTTTTAAACCGCTAGGCGACTAAAGATGTTTGCATTTGCCTCTGTCTATTGCGCAATGGGCGCCTTCTCACTGCGGCAACCCCGCCGGCAGCAAGGCATCCAATTCGGTCTTGCGCAATGGTCATATGGTGGAGCTTTGCGGGCCCGCTTGTGAACGGCGGACAGTCGCCCAGTCGCACAGTCGCACAATTAGAGCAGAGCGCGCTCCGAGGACTCGCAACGAAACATTTTGCTTTTCACCATTCCGCGCTCGCAAACCGAACACGCAACATCGGTAGAGAACATTAATACACGCGCGACACACCAAATCTTGCAGAGAATATAAAACATCACTAAAAGCGAACGGTTCCAAACGAGATATATTCGCGGGTTAGTGGTAAAAAGACTGATATTTTACTCAAAAGTGGTAAATAAAATAAATCGATATCAAGATGACGAGTTTTGGGTCGACGCAGATTTGTGCCAGTTTGTTAGTTCTTGTAGTGATCGTACAACAAGGTATTTTTAAATTTAATTGTGCCATATGTGAAAAAGCTTAATATGTTTTCCGCAAAAATATTTGCATATATATCACTGTAGCTCACATTTAATTGTTATATATAAAACTCATGCACATCAAAATAAAATCTTAAATGATGTTTAGTCGAAAATAAAGATTGACCACATGAAGAGAAAATTGTAAATTTAAATAAGCACGCTATTTGCGACGAAACATTTCAACCTTTAAATAGTAGGTTTATTAATGACAATATCAATATTTATAATCTACTTCATAAACTTAACTGCATTAACAGTTTTACATTATATACCTAAAGTTTTTGAAGATTGACCTGAACGTAATAACATTCGCACTATTTTTAAATTTATAACTAAATTAAATTTTCGCATGCTATTTCCTGCTGAAATATAATGCCGCTTTTTGTGATTTGAACTAATTTTTCACGTATTATTAGTAAATTCAAATATTATAACTTAGTATAGCAATAGTCTCTACTAATAATACTACACTATATTTCTAATCTTCACCGCAAATATATTTAACGAAATAGGTTTTATTCGAATTAAAGCATCATAATATTAATGCAGATATTATGTATGTATGAGTTGCTATTTTATAGTGGCTATAATAGGTATAATCTAATATAGCAAACATTTAAAACTATAATTTTTTTATATTTCAAAAATGTTATTAACTTCCCGTAGGGTAAGTTTGTAATGGGCCGAAAATCGGAATTGAAAATTTTTACATTTCTCGACGTTTTGAAGGTTTCTGAACGTTTTGGCATACCTCAGAAAAAATGGATGTGTGTGTGTGTGTGTGTGTGTGTGTGTGTGTGTGTGTGTGTATGTATGTATGGATACAAATTTTCGTCCACGTTTTCGGGCGTACGGATCAACCGATTTGAATGGTTTAAAAAACATTCGATTCCTATTAATAAGGAGAAGAGCTGATTAGTTTTTGGCAAAGACAGGTCCAGCAGTTACGGAGATAAGGAGCAAAGAGTGCAGAAAATAGAAATCGAGTTTTTGAGAGAACGGAGCATCCGATTTGAATGATCTAAAAAACATTCCATTAGTAATGATTGGGAGAAAAGGTTATTAGTTTTTCGCAAAGGCAGGCCCAGCCATTTCGGAGATACAGAGCTAAATGTACAAAAATGGCAGTTTTTGAGAGAACTAAGCGTCCGATTCAATTGATTCAAAGAACTTTCTGCTTGTCTTAGCAAAATAATTAATTTTGGAAAAAAAAAAATTTAGTACCATTTTTTTTTTTTTTTTTTTTTTTTTTTTAATTTTTTGTATATCGAAAATAATTCAGATTTTATTTTTAATTCTGACTATAGTTCTAATATACTTTAAACAAATAATTTCAACTCTGCAATTCAGTTTATATAATTATTATAAATATTAGACAATAATACAATATTTATAATAATCTATTTGAAAACATTCAATATTCCTCGAACGTTTCGTTACGGTACGGGAAGTTCCAGCAATTTGCCTTAAGGCACGATGCCACCCACCCCACTAGTTTTATAATGTTTTTATATGATGAAGTGCAATTGCATATTATCATCATTTTGTTTGCCACTTCCTTCGATATATTACCAGAAATGAACATACTTGTTTCTATTTCTAAGATATAAAAATAGATAGATAGTAAGGCAGATTTTTTTTAATTGTGTAAAGTAATGACTTTTTTATATTCTCATACTATTTTATTTTCTTTGCTACAGTGTTCCGAGTTTGAAATATTTTTCATTTGTTTTATTAAAAGTTATTAAATTTTGCAAATTCGAATAATATTGATCACATTATATCATGATTATTACTATTAGTAAATTTTGATATAATTAGAAAGTATTTAATAGTTTTGTATCTTTATAATAGCATGTAATTAATCTTTATCCTGAGCAAGTTGAAGAGATTGAAAAAACCAAATTGACATTTGAATAAAATATAATTTTCAAAAAAAATTTAAATGAAAAGATTAATGATTTTTTGTATGCTAACATTTTTGAAATCTATTATAATTATAAATTTGCAAACACAATTTCCAGATTTGAATCCATAATGTAAAAATAAGTTTGTTTAATATTACGCTATTTAAATACAACTTCATTGAATAGACTAATATAAACGTAAATTAAAGACTGATATAAGTTTTCAAATTTATGAAATAAAATTATATATTATTATTACAATAATTTTAATGCAAGTTTCTGACCGAAATTATATACTAATAATAATAAAGCAATGATTCTCAAACATATTAGTAAAAATATAAAGTTAAAAATTAAAAAAGTTTATTCATTTTTAACAGAAAAGCATAATTCATTTATGAAAAATAACTCACTATTAAATAGCTGTTTGATTCCTAATTAAATGTTCACTGATTATCGTGGATGGAACTTTTATAGTCAAAAATTTCTATGTGTATCTTTGAATCTTTATCGCCAAAACATTTACTTTTAATATATATTTAATCATTACAATTGTCAATAATATAAAATACATTTGTTGCAATATAATAATGATCGAAAAGGTATTTATTTGTTTATAAAATTGTAATGCAGTAATGTTAATATAATTAAAGGTTTACAACGAGCAATTTCCTTTTATTGTAATTCGAAATATTTAATGCTATATATCTGATTGGTTAAATGTTCCATGTTGTGTTATATTGCCCTGTTAGACTGTAAAATAGTATAATTAATAATTAACTGAATATATGTAATCTATTATTGTTGATTGAAATTAAGATGCGTGTTATAGTTTTTCATTGACAAAATAACGTTAATAAAATACTTCCTTAAAATAAAATGAAATATTGAATAAAATCTAACATATTCTATAAAAAAAAAATATTAAATCGAACAAATAGTTCAACAACGGGTTAATTTTCAAACGAACAACAACAATATTAAGAATGTATTTACTGATTTTTTGAGTGACTATGCGATATTTTTCAAGTCGCACTTTATTACATTCCCATAATTTAAGCGAGTATTACTTTATGATTGATTTCAAATAATTATCGAAATATAGATTAAACTACAGTTTAAGGTTTACATCGTATGATACATTCAATGGTACGATTGTACATTGAACTGTATTAGGTTTTTAATAAAAAGTTATATTTCTGCAAAACGTATTTATATTCAAATTTTTTAGCTTTACTACGTTCATTTACTGAACCAATATTATGTAGATATATATTGCAAATAATTTAAACTCGCTCAATAATATTAATATCACTGTTAATTCATAATATATTAATTTTAATACACGCAGTACATGCGTAATTTCTCACTTTTAAGCAGAAGTATGTCATTCATTGAAGTTCTTACAAGTTTTTTTAATGCGCGTATTATTATCTTTTTATTTATTTATTTATTCTAGCCTAATGGCCTAGAAATACAGCGATATCTTAATCCTACCTTACCCTTACCTTAATTTAAATTTATACGCAAATTATAAGCAAATTAATATAAACAAAAACCTAATTAATAATTTAGTAACTTTAGCGTATTAATAAAATGCGCTTATCAATATATATATATATATATATATATATATATATATATATATATATATATATACGTATATACATTGCTGGATTCGCAGTAGGGGCAATCGGGGCTACTGCCTAGGGCGGCAAATTTTGGGGGGCGGCAAAATTTGGATAATGAGAATAAAATTCTATACAATATAATCAACTTTTTTTTAACAACATTTTTTATTTCAAGAAATATAATTAACAAAACATAATATGATTGCAATGCAACATTTGGTTGAAATAACCGATAACTAAAATTTATTATTTTGCATTGCCTCCCTCTCCGAACGTAAATTTTTAAATTGGTTAATAAGTTATCAAATTTGGCAATTTGGCTAAAATAAAGATCCATAAACAAGATGAAAGTTTAACAAAAATATGTTTTTCAGTTCTCTAGCCCTCTTAAAATGACGAATTTGTGCACTTTCAAGCTTATAGCGTCGAAAAAAAATTTAAACTAGTGACTCATGGCATTGTGCCTTAAGACAAATTACTGAAACATCCCGTACTGAAAATTACATTTTATAAAGAGCTTTAAATTTTTTTGAAAAATGAAAAAAAAAGACTTTTAAAGCACATTTTTTGTATTTTGAAATTTTTCGAAAATTATGAACTTTTTGCAAAGCAATCGCGCTGCGTAGCTGTTTCAGAGAAGCAATATCAATAATTACGAAAATTACCATTTTTCGTAATTGCCTGTACCAAAGGCTAATCAGCACGACTCCCCATCAATACATATCTAATATTTTTTAATTATTCAAGTCGATTTCAAGAACACGGATAAACCGATTTAAATCATTCAATTCCTATTGATAAGGAGACGTGCTGATTAGTTATTGGCCAAGGCAGGTCCAACAGTTTTGAAGATACGGGCCAAAATGCCAAAAATGATAATTCGGTTTTTGAGAAAAAAGCGTCCAATATCATTCAAAAAATTTACAGAATAAATAACTACTTAAATTTGTGGGGGGCAGGTTTAGCGGTTTCGATGATCCAATAAAAAAAATTTAAAAAGAAACATTTGGCGGACAAAAGTGATCATAAGACATATGCACTTTAAATTATCAGATATTTTGAAGATATTATAATAATAAGTTTAAATTTTGTTTACATATTTATATGCGTTCTACAACATTGTTCACCCGTTAGACTGCGACGCGGCGCTTACGCGCTCCTATATTTTGTCCCTACGCAGCCGAAGCAGCGCGATTGCTTTAAAAAAAAGTTCGAAAGTTCGTAAAATTTCAGGGATGGGGCGGCATTTTTGTTAGTGCCCCGGGGCGCCAAATTTCTAAATTCGGCCCTGTATATATATATATATATATATATATATATATGTATACATATATATATATATATATATATATATATATATATATATATATATATATATATATATATATATATATCTTATATATAAAAATGGATCTCGGTATTA